ATATATATATATATATATATATATATATATATATATCCGCCAGCGGTTATTAGATTTATACAATATGTGAGTATACTTTAGGTCATTAAAGATGAATTGTCAGTTGTAATGAAATTCTCTCTTTGAATTTGCTGGGTGCCACATATTGAGTGGAAGCCCATTACAGATTTGACATGTAATATTTTGAAATCAATACTGCAGCAAACTCCTCCCAGTTCAAACACAGTTTGGAGGAGTGTGTCTTGCTGAGATGGGCTGCAGAACCAATTTACAACTCAAATTTTGTTAGACCAAGGGAACATAGGCCTACAACATAACAAGATAGCACATAAAAAAAGGCTGCACTCTAAACCCGGATTTTGTTAATAAAACATTTTAAGTGGTCATTACTTATTCTTTAGAAAATGGTGTCATTACTAAATAAAATTAGCTGTTTGCACTAATCAGAAGAAAAAATTGAGTGTAATGATCGTTACGTTTTTGTAAGGGAGGGGAGGGGCCTTGATTGCGTCAGGTCTTGACAGCGCTGGCTGATGAGTGTCTTCTGGCTGCTGGTGCACGTTTACCGTGGATTTTTTGAAAGCAACGTGACATGGTGAGTGTGTAAAGAAGTTTTTATCTGTTGATATATTTCTGAAAAAAATGATAACCCAAAAATCCGGACCGATGTTGAACTCTAAAATGTTAACGTAGTGTTAATGTGTCGGTCAACGCAATTTTTTCCCCCTGTCGGTTCACAGTTAAGGTATAACAGTATCATAAATTAGCTTTTTCTGTCGGGTCACCGTTTATAACGCTAACCAGTGTTTCTCTGTATGTTCACAGTTTAGCTACACCGTGTGTTGTAGCTAAACTGTTGGCATAAGTTTTATTTCTGTCGGTTCATATCAGCACGAGTCCATGCATGTGCACGTGCTTGTGGCTAACGCTAACGTATATCTCTTTGGTTTATTAAGGTAATAGTTAAAAAAAATCCTATTTAATGTTTCACATGAGTGATTTTTTTTTCTTTTTTTACATATCAGTAATTTAACGAACTGTTTAAAAGCCGAGATCGCTAGCAGAAGTTAACTTTTACAGTAGAATTATATCTGCAACTGATTTTCTGCAACTTTTTCTAAACGTTTTCTTATGCTCTGTTTCAACAGGTTCTTGTGAAGATGCAGTGGAAATGTAAGTTTTGTGAATTTACATGTAACAAACGGGGTTACCTATTAAAACATTATAGGTTAAAACATGGATGTTACAGCAGAACTGTTCCATTTCCTTGCCTACATTATTGTTTATTTCTTTAAAAGTAATTAAAATAATTTTACAATTTAGTATCATTTTAAAATTATAAGACATTACTTAAATATAACAATTATAACTACTTAAAATCATTTGTTAATATTAATTTTTTTTGTTCAACTTAATAGTTATTTTATAAAACATATAAAAAAAATCCATAATGTGAACTAATGCTTTTTAGTAAAGATTACTAATGCCAACTTGATTTGTCTGCTACACCCACTAAATGTTCTATGTTAATACAACTTAACCTGTTTAGTTTCACCCTGTGTAAAAACTAAAATTGTTTAGTGCAACGGGTTTCCACGCAATTTTGTAGGCTTGCCTTGCCCACCGAGGCACTGTCCCCAACCGTCATTTAGATTTTTTTATAGTAATAAAAATCATAAAAATCATTTAGAGAACAGACACTACAATTAAAAACTGAACGCGGCTGCTCAATGAAGCGTGCTGAGCGACATTCGTATCACAGATCAGCAGCTTGAGACAGATTTCATTTATCAAGTGAGGAGAGTGAGTCGAGCTGACCGACAAGAAGATTGAGGTGAGACAGACAAGACGATCGCGGATGATGTAGTTTCGAAACGAGATGCAAAAGCGCCTGTTTGGCAATGTTTGGGATTTTGAAAAGCCTG